CAAACTACACAAACTGGGTGCTGTATTTTACCCTCAAGTTAGATATAAGGTATTCTCCCATACTTGCACAAAACCACAAAGAACAGACTTTCTGAAAAGATGTCCCAAAGGAGCAACGGACACAGAACACAAGGAGGCTGACTACAATCCAGCCTGCACTATAGATCATCTACTTGGAAAGCTTGGGTAAAAGTTCTTTGTTTCTGTTTGGGGGAATTTTTTTTGTTTGTTGGTTTGTTTTTGGTGTTTTTTTTTTGTGATAAGTACTACAGATCTGCAAGGGATGGTAAGGGGAAACAAAGGCGGCAACAATGCTTGATAAGAAATGTACTCATTACCTTGCTCATGTAATTGCAACCCTTCTGCACAGTATTTTCACAATAAGAAAAAATCTATTAATTTCATTTGATGTGAAAAAAATGAAAATCAACCTACTTTACAGTAGGCTTTGTAGTGAAAAACTACTGAGATAAGACTTTTATCAGGAACAATACAGGGCAGTAGACTACTAGGAAGCTGAAATGCTGCTAGCTCTACTTTACAGCACATGGACATGGTGTAGGCCCTGGTTTAATGAAATAAGCCAGAGCAAAGTTTTTTTCCCATTAAAAACAAATGATTTATATTTAGTTTTACAGTAATGGCAGAGTCTCACAGTTGCTAGGCAGGGCCCTATTTGAGCCTCACCTATATCCCTTTATAGCTGTAAATATGCTCCCACTTTTTTTTTTTTTTAAGTTTTGAAGGGATGTCTTTCTCCAAGTATCAGCAAAACTAGAAAAGGATATCGTAAGCTAGATAGGGGAGAGGGAGATTTTCAGACTAAATTTAATATTCTAAAAAATTTAACAGGCATGAGCCTACTATGTGATCAGCATTTAGTTCTTTTGTGTGCTCTAGGGAGAGTGGGGGCGGGGGACTGATACTGGGACTTCAACTCAGGGTCTCATGCTTGCTCAGCCTACCTGAGCTTGGCTGGAGCTTGCGTTGGAGCCAGTTCTCCAGTCTGGCTATTTGATCATTATTTTGGACATCAAGTCTCCTAGTCCTTGCCAGACTGGTTTCACACCCTGATCCTTTAGATCTCAGTCTCCTGAGTTCCTAGGATTACTGGTATGAGCCACTGGTACCTGCTCATTTTTTTTTAAATCCCTGAAGCTAGACATTATTCATCTCCTCTTTAGTAGGGACTAGAGGTGGAAAGTATAAGGAAATTATTGATACTTGAGAAAAAAAAACCTCAGTTTGTACTTACAGCCCTAGAAAACCACAGCACCTCACCTTTAGAAACCTGGAAAGTACTGTTTTCACATTTTAACATAGGAGCTGAAAAAAAGAACCAGTGTTCATGGAAAGCTATGGATGGTCCTGTTTCCCAACTCATGCCCAGTGGTGAATGTCAAGTGTTTGTCCTAGAAGGATCTAGTAGTGGATCTATCTCGTCCTCCCTTGAAATGAGCCCATATCTCGAGCTCCAGAGCCAACATGGGCCTCCAAGAGAGGATAAAGGGCCCTGGAATCTCTGACTTCATTGAATTCTTTCAGGTGGGCAATTTTCATTCCAATCAACACAGTGAAGAGACAAAAAAATTTATCAGGATTGCGTAGCAATTTCATAGGCTGACAGATAGAAGCATGTACCAATACATCTTTTATTGCTTCCTTTGACAGCTACAGATTGCATGAAGAGTTTAACTGGGATAATACATACATCCTGCAGATGGTTTGTTGAGAGGGATTTTTTTTTTTTTTTAACATGCTCTGGCTTCCAAAGAATAAGTAGTTAGGTAGAGAAATTTCCTGGTAGCCCAAAGAATGTTTCTCTCTACCCTTCCAAATAATCTCTCTGGTATCATACTCACAACATAAGCATTTTAGTGACTATTAAATTTATTCTCAGATATGGAGTAAGCCAGCCTATATTAAAGGGTCCTCATCTGTGGGATTTGTGAAATTATTTATAATCAATGACTCTATAAATAAGGAAATTTACTAAAGCATCAGTTCTCATAAGGACTATATTTATATCATGCATAAATCATTGCTTGGAATGGTTAAGCTTGAGATCTTAAATTTGACTCTCATAGTTAAAAAACTGAAGTTGTAGCCAGTTACCAGTGGTTTACACCTATAATCCAAGCTACTCAGGAGGCTGAGATCTGAGGATTGTGGTTCAAAGGCAGCCTGAGCAAGAAAGTCCATGAGACTCTTATCTCCAGTGAACTACCGGAAAACTGGAAGTAATTCTGTGGCTCAAACTGGTAAACACTAGCCTTAAGCAAAAAAGTTCAAGGACAGCCCCCATGGCTGACCAAACCAATAAGTAAAAAAACTGAAAATGTAGTTCTGATGTACGAGCAGAGGCTTAGAGAAATTAATTCTTCAGAGGTCAGTAACACTGGTGTCCTACTGCAGTGAAGGCTCAAATGGTAGAGCACCAATTTTGAGCAAAAAAGTTGGGACCACACCCTGGCCCTGAGTTCAAGCCCTAGTACCAGCACAAAAAGACAGAATAAAATAAGATGTAAATAAATAAAATAAAAATAACATTTAAGCCATCAGAAAGAATAAAAATTGATTGCTTTCCTGAATATAGATGGTTCTATCCAATCAGTTGAAAGACCTACCTAGAAGCTACAGGTTTCCTCCCCCAAGAAAGAGAGCATTCTTCCTGCTTGAGTTTAAGATTGAACATGGATCTTCACACTTTAACTCATCAATTCTTTTTCGGTCACACTGCAGATCAGGATTTTCTAGGCCTCCATAATCATGGAGCCAATTCCATATAATATTCTCTTCCTCTCTACATATATACTGTATAGAAAGAAACCATTTACCAGCCTGCTCCTCGCTGAGCAAATAGCAATTGTGTCCTTCCTCACCATGTTTCATACCTAGCATGATTTCTGTCACTCAGCACATGCAGACTGAGACTAAGGGCAGTTGTTTATGACTGACAATGGCAATATGATTATATAAAACTGCAAAAAGCAATCCTGCAAAATGCAATTTATGATTTCAATCTATAAACACATTCTGGGATTTTAAATCTATTTAAAAAATCCTTTGCTTTACAAATCTTCCAAATATGATCATATTTGTTTCCATACTTGTAATTATTATTATTTTGCCAGTCCTGGGATTTGAAGTCAGGGCCTGGGCACTGTCCTTCAGCTTTTGTGCTCAAAGTTAGTGCTCTACCACTTTGAGCCATTTCTTGCAATACTTGTTATTCTTAACAGCACAGAGAAGTACACATAACAAAGTTGACCAAATCAATGTTTCTTCAGCCCCACAAGACCCAAATCCTACAAATATTTATAAGCAATCAAAGAAAGCTATATTTAATTCACAATTATATACAAGGAATAATTTTATCATTAAAAAGTCATTATCTAAGTACAAACAAAGCAAAGCATTCACAGAGTCACAGGACAAAACTGAAGTGACAAATGCATTATTATAGCTTGTTTTCCCCAAACCAACACCAAGAAGAGAAGGGATACCAGGATTCCAGCCTAACTGCCTACTCCTGCTCTTTGTTATAGAAGCTGATCTCTGTCAAAAATTCCTCTGTGGAAAGGCAAGCCCACAGAAAGCCAATATCACAGATACATTCATTAGTTACCTTGAATGATCCCAAGGTGTACACTAATATAAGAAGAGGATAGACAGACAACTCCCTTCCTTACCAACACACACACACACACACACACACACACACACACACGTCTGGGCATTTGGGCCATAGTTAGAAAACTCAGTAAATGCCACATCTTTCTTCCTGTGTGATTTTTGTTATTCCCAAGTGAAGCATCGAAAGACTTAAACAAATTGTCAAGTTAGACTCATAAATGCCACACTCAAGTTCAGTAGAAAGTACAAAGTCAAAGTACAAAGTACAAAAGGAATTCAAATTTGTTAACACTTTTTAGCAGAAATTAAGAGGTGATTCAAGTCTGTTATGGCATAAATACTTCTCCCAAACTGAAGTGTCACCAATGAGACAGTGGAGTATCCCAGGGGAGGCTTCCAGAGGTGGTGAGGATTCGACGGCTGCTCCCTGGTTAATGAGATTGAGGCCACTCCTTTAGAAAAGAACTTCAATAGCCTACCTAGCTTTCCCATCCACCTTCTCCCATGTGAGGATTAGCAAGAAGGCTCTTATCAGACCAAATGCTGGCTCCTAAATCCTGCACTGTTCGGCATCCAGAACAGTGAGAAATAAATCCCTGCTATTCATAAAATATCCAGACTCAGGTTATTCCCTTGTAGCAGCACAAATAGAGTAAGACAACATATTATAAATGGAATAAGTTCACCGGAATACCATTGAGGATGCTGAAAATCATGAATACTCAGTGATATGAGCCACTCATAAAGAGAAAGAAATCTTTTTTTTTTTTTTGGACAGTCCTGGAGTTTGAACTCTGGGCTCTTTTTGCTCAAGGCTAGCACTCTACCACTTTTGAGCCACAGAGCAACTTTTGAATTTTCCCATATTAATTGGAGATAAGAGCTTCACAAACTTTCCTACCTGGGCTGGCTTCGAACCATGATTCTCAGATCTCAGCCTCCTGAGTAGCTAGGGTGACAGGCATAAGCCACTGGCACCCAGTAGAAAGAAACATTTCTAAGAGTCATCTAGTTTGGTCTGACGAAAAGTACACTAGGTAGCAAGCACCCAAAGAAATGTGCTTACCACGGGCTGGGAAGGTGGCTCAGTGGTAGAATGCTTGTCTCGCATGCATGAGGCCCTAGGTTCAATTCCTCAGCACCAAATAAGCAGAAAAAACTGGAAGTGATGCTGTGGCACAAGTGGTGGAGCGCTAGCCTTGAGCTGAAGAACTGCAAGAGAGCGCCAGGCCCAGAGTTCAGACCCCATGACTGACAAAATAAATAAAATAAATAAAAACACAAAAGATGTCCACTGCTATGGAAATAAAATCCAGACTTTCTAAAACGAAAAAAAGAAAGAAAAAAAAAAGAAATGTGCTTACCACAATATCTTCAGGAAATGTGTCCCTGCTAAAGGAGCCATCATCAAACATGACCTCATAGAAGGTTTGTGACGTCACTGCTATCACCCTGCAGCTGTAGTACCGCGTGTTCCGATGCTTTGTGATGACTGTCTGACCCACAGAGATGGCCTTCTCACATGCCTTAGACTTCTAAGAGATAGAGGGAGAGGGGAGAAAAAGGAGAGGAAAGAAAACAGACACAAAAGAAACTGTTATTTAGAAAGCAGTCATTGATTTGGCCAAGACTTGTTTAAACTTTTGAAATTCAGGGCTGTAGAATACATTCAAATGAAAGTTGCAAGAATACAAATATAGTGTATCAACAACAATTTCATAACCATTGACCCTTTGCTCAGATTCATTACTTTTGTTGACTGCTATGATTGACCGTTTGTTGTACTGTTTACATACCCTTTGGTATGTGTTGTATGTGTATATGAAGAGGAGATAAATTTGTGCATGTATGTATGTATAATTTCTCTTGAATCATTTGGAAGCTCTGTGTATCACTGTATCACCTAAATACTTCTGTGTTTATCTTCTCAGAACATGGATATTCTCTTACATACAGCTCCAATACAGTTCAGGAAATTTAACACTCATATAATAAAATCCGCTTCCCATGCTTCAGCTGCTCAATTATCTATAATGAACTTTATGGTGTTTCTCCTCCATCTCCAAACTGCCAAGAACAGAATCCATTCTACAATTAAGAATTGCATTTAGTTTCCACATCTCTTTAGGTTCCTTTAATTTGGTCTATTTCCATTGTCCTTTTTTTATGATAGTGATACTTTGGAAAGATGATATCTTTTACTTTTCAATAAGCCATTTGTAACAAGTTTCTCCATTAGATTCAGGCTACATATTCTTGTCAGGAATTCCATATAGGTAATGTCTCTTTTACAGGATATTTCATCTGAAAACAGATGATGTTTGCATGCCTTTCAATGATGATGTTAATTTTGATTCCAATCAGTGTGGTCCAATCTCTCCACTTTCAATTTTTCTACACAAATAAAAATCTATGAGACACTTTATCTTATGCCTCAGGTACTTCTGTTTAGTGCTAGCCTCCAATGATGAACTTTATTTACTTTGTTAAAATTTCAAAATGCTAAAAACAGGCAAAGAATGAATATATTTCTTTTTGGACAGTGTCACCCCTTCCCTTACTCTCTTCCAGTTCTTCCCTCCCTTATCTCCCCACAAGCTCCAGTTAATATCATTGCTGCTTGTTTACTCTGTCCATCCATTTCTGTGCCTGCTCTTACACTCCCAAAGACATACAAATGAACAAAGACAAAAAGATAAAAAAAACAAACAAACCTCATTTCTATTTCCTGGAGTTCATTTCAATAAGTATTATTTTATATGATCAGATGCACATGGATATTATGCTTTTCTGTCCCTCTCCTAAGAGTGTCTTCCTCTGGTCTCACTGGGTATGAATGCCTAGAGTCCTGTATAATTTATCATGTCTCAGTCTATTTTAGATCTAGCTACTGCATATGAGAGAAAATATGTGCCATTTGTCTCTCTGAGCGTGGTTCACCTCACTTAACATGATTTGTTCTAGGCCCATCTATTTCCCTGAAAATGGCATAACATTATTCTAATGGTTGTGTAAAATTCCATTGTGTATAGGTACAGCATTTTTAGGATCCACTCTTCTATTACAGAGCATCTGGGATGTTTCCATAACTTGGCTACTGTGAATAGTGCAGCAGGGAACATGTGTCTTCATGGTATCCCAGCTTGTAATGATGTGGAAGATATGGCTGCATCATAGGGAAAACCTATGTGGATTTTTTGTTTGTTTTGTTTTTGTCGGTCATGGGGCTTGAACTCTGGGCCTGGGTGCTTTCCCTGAGCTCTTCAGCTCAAGGCTAGTGGCTCTACCACTTGAGCCACAGCATCACTTCCAGTTTTCTGGTGGTTAATTGAGATAAGAGTCTCATGGACTTTCCTGTCTGGGCTGGCTTTGAACCACGATTCTCACATCTCAGCCTCCTGAGTAGCTAGGATTACAGGTGTGAGCCACTAGCACCTAGCTCTATATATAGTTTTTTGAAGAACCTCCAGACAGCTGCCCAGAGTGGTTATACTAGTTTACATTCTCACCAACAGTGCAACAGGGTGCCTTTTTCTCCACATCCCCACTAACACTTGTAGTTCCTTGAATTCACAATGTTGGTCAACCTAAGTGGAGAGATAGAATCTCAGAGTTGTTTTGATTTTCATTTCATTTATGGCCAGAGATGATATGCATTTCCTCCTGTGTTTCTTTGCCATTGTTATCTTTTCTTCTGGGAAGTCTCTCCTTAGCTCCTTTATCCATTTATTGATTGGTTTATTACTCTGGAGGGGGAGGGGGATTAGTTTCTTGAGCTCCTTGTATATTTTGGATGGTAGGCCTTTGTCTGATATACTGCTGGTAAAAAAAAGATCTTCTACCAGTCTGTTGGCTATCTTTCTTTTAATAACCAGGTATTCAGCTATGCAGAAACTCTTTAGTATGATGTACATTTACTCTTTTTTTTTTTTAAGATGGAGCAAGTTTATTTGAAAGTGAAAGGACGACCATGAAAGGGAAGTAGTGAGATTCTCCGATAAAAGGAGCTCCAAAGAGCTCCTTCATTGACTCTTTCCTAGAGCGGTGGTGTGTGCTATCTTGCTCCAGACTCTCTCCACATTTATTAGTTGGTACTTGCCATCTGGTATCTACATGTCCATCTAAACACCATCCATTTCATTCCATATGCCATCCATAATCAGTAAGACCTCACAAATTCCTTCTTATCATTTGAATGTAGTTCCTCCCATACTTTGTTTTTGGTTCCCAAATTGTCCCATTTGGAGCCAATGAAAGTCCCTTCACATCTTTATGTGACTTGGTAAGATACATAATCATTTTGCCCCAGCACCAAAGTTAATATGGTTCATTTCAGAGGATAGCAGAAGATTTGATTCTGTGTGGTCACAAGTACAGAAGAGCTAGAGGAGCTTTATTATCACTCTTGGTGGAAGACTAGGACCTGGAATACAAAACTGAGGACAAGGCTGCTCATGACTGAACAGAGAAACAAGTCTCTTCCCAATAAACATGTTCCCAAAAGTCTTTTATATGTAGATGAGTTTTGCCATCTAGTTTTCCCCATAACTAAAGGACACTTTCCTCCTTGAAATCTTCCCCAGTGATAATTGGATTCGTTGAGAAATTGGTCTATGTCTTTAGGTGTAGGTAGTTTGGAGGTATTTTAATCATTTTTTTTAAAAGCCTGTAGTAATTCAGATATAACATGTTTGAAGTAGAAATCCTTACTTTCACATCTGGGTGGTATTATATTATGTATGCTAAAATTTTTCCTACTTCAGTTTCCTTCATTTACATGTCCAGCCCTTTTAAATACATATAAAATCTCAAAATAAAAGAATAATTTAGTTAAAAGAATTACAGAGGTAAACTCTCTTAAAGTCATATAACTCCAAAGCTGGTCCTATGACAGCAACTTAGGCTGTACACGTTACAACTAACTCTAGAAGACCTTATTCACAACAGTGTTATCATAAACAGTAGCTGAGTGACATGTATTAGGGCTGGTCAGAGTTTCACACTAGATTTTTTTTCTTTATATTTTCTTAAAAACTGGTATTATTTTACAAATGAAAAAACATGCCTTTTTCTTAAAAGCAAGACAAAAAACAAGTCACACTCAAAGGAGATACTATGGTTTGTTTGGAGTTTAGTTCTAAACCCTGATTCTTATTAGCTGTGTGATCTTGGGGGTGTGACTTAACCATTATTGGTCTCAGTTTCCTTATCCATTGACTCTTTTTTTTAGGGGGAGGGATACATAAGTACATTCTGTTATTTAATTTTATCTACTTTTTGATTATGTGGTACTGAGGAATTGAACTCAGGGATTCATGCATGCTAAGCAAGCACTTTGCCACTAAGCCACATTCCCAGCCCCTCCATTGACTCTTTTCTCTGTTTTTTAATTTTTAGTAAAGATGCTGTACAGCTGGGTTACAGTTACATGAGTAAGGTAATGAGTACATTTCTTGTCGAACATTGTTACCGACTCCTTTGTTTTTCTACCACTATCCCTTCCCTCCCCCACCCCTGAAATATTTCATTTTTCTTTTTCCATTGGTTTATCCCTGGCAATCAATGTCTTTGATTCTGGTACCCTCTGTTTTATATATACATTTATCTGATTTGGGGAAGGGGACAGGGAATAACAAAATGCTGAAAAGAAGGACAAAGGATGACTCATTGCAACAATGATACTCACAAGACACTATGTCGGAAATGAACTTCTATTAACTCTTAACATCAAAAGTTTGCTGTAAATAGGATGAAGTACATAAAATACCTAGACTCACCAGCAGTAGATTATCAGAAAATGTTAACTGGCTTCACTTTCGAAAATAGAAAATATACTTGAGACCTTCCTTAGCCCCAAGTTATTAAACCACTCTTGCTACTCTATCTCAATAAAAGGCATTTACAACTAGACCAACACCTCATTTCACATGAACAAGGATCAATCCAGCCTTATGTCATCACTTGGAGAACAATCCAGGCCTCCACTCTTCACCTCCTCAACTCCAGAAGTCCCTAGTCTCTGATCAGTCAAACTCAGGAGCCTGGTTACAGTCCAAAGGATGAGATCAAATTTTATGTAGTCTCATCCTGCCAACCCCAAGGCTCCCCAAAACTCTTCTCTGCAACTTTATTAAGGCCCTAGCCACATGACTCTTACTATCTTTACAGCATGGAAAAACTCACTGGTAAAAAGTACTGCTATTGATAATATGAACAAGTGAACTAATGGATGGATACAGAAGAAGTAGAGTGAATGAATGGACTGTGCAGAGAGGTATAGATATAGAGTGATTGCAGTTGTTCACTGTCCAGAAAAAGCAGAGAAAGAATTTTAGGGAGAGGTTTCCCATTGTTGGGGTGGGTGGTGGGTATGTAAATAGATAGAAAAAGGGATTAGAAAAGTTTTCTGGTGAAATTCATTATGTCTTGGGAGTGAAAAACATCAATCAAGTCGGGTGCTGGTGGTTTACGCCTATAATCCTAGCTACTCAGGAGGCTGAGATTTGAGGATCACGGTTCAAAGCCAGCCTATGCA